CGCGACGTAGGCCTCCTTCGAGTTCACCGGGCTGGTATAAATATCTTACCCTTACTCTATCCGGAAGTTTTCGTTCTTTGCCTCTCCTCGGTGCTGAAGATTCGGAAGTCACGGATTTCATTTTAATTGCATCGGATAGTTTCTTCCCTATTAATCTCGTTTCTTCATTATTCAGCGCTGATACAACGGCTGATAATCGTGTCACCCATTCGGTTGATCTCAATCGTTCGGATTTCATTTCGATCCCACTCTGATAGCCAAACAAACGTTCCGCTAATGTCCTGTTAAATCTTTCGACGATAGCTTGACTGCGGTGGGCCTCTCTTTCACCATGCCTGATTTCAACATTGTGCTTTGTTAACAGTTTTGTTATCGATCCCATAAACTCGCGACCGGGATCTACTTGAAATAGCTTTGGCCATTTTAGTGGTCCGCGTTTATATATGCGAATCAGTGCATTAGCTACTTCTGTTGAATCTTTTGAGGTTAATGGCTCAGCCTCTTTGTATTGACTAGCCACATCTACTATTGTTAAAGCGTATTTATACGTTTTGCGTTTTACCTTATCGTTGGGAAGAAACAAGAGGTCAGCCTGATGAACTTCATTCGTTGTAAAAATATCAAACTTCTTCCTCGGTATATAACGCGGTGCTGGTAAATATATTTGCCACATCGCTTGTTTCTTTAACCAATCCTTGGCCACATCTTTAGATACCTTACCTGCGGTGGCTAATTTTTTTATTGCTCCTACACCTTTCCAATATCCTCGTGGGCTATAGTAAATTTTATTCATTATTAATTAATATTGATGTTTCTTTTAATACGACTTATGACTATCATTGAATCGCATAATCATTTTGGCATAAAAAATGCCACCTGTAGTAGCAGTATAGGTATATGAATCCGGCTCCAGTGGAAGTGGTCCAGAACCCCCATTACCTATACTACTCATACTCAACTTTCGTAAGTCCGGCCATAGCTTTATTGGAAGAGGTTGAAGCTTACTTACTTACTTACTTTGGAGATTTAACGTGCGCTTTCCGACTGGTGCGTATTTCGCACACGGGCCCGGCCAGGCCATTTAATGTGTTTCCGAAAGGGGTAAAAGTGGTGTGTGCAACCCAAGAGGGGGCTTTGGGGGTTGCTTATATAGAATTTGGGAATTTTGAGATTTGGAATAGATGCCGATTGGGGTTGGGGAGGAGAACTAAGGGAGCTGGGTATGGTGGATGTCTGTTTGTTTATGTGATTTTGATTTGGTGGATTATAGTGTTTTTAGATGCGTTTTATTAGTTCCGTTTTGATTAAGAATACGCCTAAGGCCTTGAAGTTTTCTAGTTTATTTTGTGGGTTTAGTATTGCTTCTAGAGTGAGAGCCTTGTTTAGATTGAGGGTGGTTTGTAATGCGGTTCGATGTGTTAGGTAGTGTGTGCAGTAGATGAGTGCGTGTTCTGGGGTTTCTAGTTGTTTGCAGTGTGGGCAGTTACCTGTAGTATGTTTTTTTATTTTTTTTAGGTGGTTATTTAGGTTGGTGTGTCCTGTTTGGAGTTTAGTGATTACTCTGTCGATTTTTTTTGATGGATGGTGAATTTTTGGTTTGGTTAGTGGTTTGCTGAGTACTTTTTTGATTTGGCTATTTGAGTTTAGATATAGGTTATGCCATTTTTTGGTGATTTTTTGCTTATTTACACTTTTAATTTCTGATTTTGAGATGGGTAAGTTTAAGCTTATTTCTGGGATTTTGAGGGATAGTTTAGCTGCCTTATCGGCGTTTTCATTACCGTATATTCCTACGTGGGCGGGTATCCACAAGAAGGTTATTTGTTTGCCTGCGTTAGTTAGGTCGTTGGAGCTTTTAAGTATTAGATTTATTAATTTAGGTCGGTTTTTGGTATTTTTGTTTTGGAGGGCTTGCAGTCCACTTAGGGAGTCGGTAAGTATTAGGATTTTATTGTGGTTTTTGGATTCTTGACTATGGAGGGCTGAGGCCATGCCCATTAGTTCTGCAGTGAATATTGATTGGTTGTTTGGGAGTCGGAAGGATTGTGTGGTTTTAGTTGGTTGTGTGGTATGGACTCCGAAACCTGTGTGTTTGGAGGTCGGATCTGAAGATCCGTCTGTGTAAATGTGACACCAATTTGGCCAATTTTCGTGTATGTATGCCAGTGTGGTGGTTTTAGCTATGTTTGGGTCGGTTTGTTTATTTATTTGGCTAGCTAGTGTTGTGTCTATTTTGGGTATTTTAAGTTTAGGGGTGAAGATATTTGATTGTTTGCAGTTTTGTTTAAGATTTTTAATTTGGTGTTCATTTAGGTAGTTTGTTATTCTTTGGGATATTGGGGTAAGTAAGGGGTGTTTACGAGCTAGAGCTTGGTTTTTGGGGCTGATATTTTGGTTTATTAAGTTTTGGATTAGAGGGTTTGATTGGGATGCGGCCCAGAAATTTAAGCTTAGCTGTTCCCTGCGTAGATTTAGTGGCATTTCTCCTGTTAAGGCCTGAAGTGAAGTGTAGGAGGTGCCATGTTGGGTGCGTGTAATTAGTTTGAGAGCCTGATATTGTATGGAGTCAAGTTTTTTAGATAGAGAGTTGTTTAGGGTGTTGTATATGGTGCAGCCGTAGTCTAGTTTTGATCTAATTAGTGATATGTAGAGTGAGAGGAGGGTATCTTTGGAGGCTCCCCAGTTTGAGCCAGTGAGGCATCGTAGGGTGTTTAGGTCTTTACTGCATTTAGTTGTTAGGTTTTGGATGTGAGCATCCCAGGTGAGATGTTCATCGAAAATAAGTCCTAAGAATTTGGTTTGTTTTTGAAATTTGATTGTTTGGTTGTTTAGCTGGAGGATTGGGGAGGCGGGTTTCATGTTTTTATGTTTGAATACTATTCCTGTTGTTTTTTTCTGAGTTAAGGGAGAAGCCCCATTTGTCAGCCCATTGTTGTATTTTATTAAGAGATTTTTGGAGTAAATTTTGGGCCATTTTAATGCTTTTAGTGCGGATCCAGAGGGCTCCATCATCCGCGAATTTGGATGTGTTTATTTTAGGTTGAAGCTCATGTTCAAATATATTTATATGTTACACCATAAACAAGAGAAGGAAGTATTAGTGATTGAGAACATTTGGTATATTCTTACACAAATCCCACAACTTGTTTAAAGGTATGTTTGAATAAGATTTGTGATGTACCGGGAGCAGATTAAAGAAAGGAGGAGTTTTTTTAAGACAATGTTGTTGTTGTCCACTACTGCTCATTGTCTCAACATATTGATAATCCCTCATAGCAGGGGAGTAGACCAGTCCATTCATTAATTAGGTGTGACCAGCATGGCCCAATTAATTAGTGAGCTAATTTTAACTGCTTTTTGGGAGGTCTGCATTTTGGAGGTCTACGTTATGGGAGGGAACCCTCTAATGAGTGAATAACCTCGGCTGGGTTAAATAGCGGGAAATAAACACTGAGGGCCTATCCTTAAAATAAGTCACTTGGTCAATAAAATAGACGAGAGCATCTGAACATCAAACTAGTCTAACAGACTGAAGACTCAGCCACTTTGACTGAGCAAGGAAATTCCCTAAAAAGCTAGACAATCACAGGGAATTTGATTATCCACGGATTACTAGAAAAACATAAGCTACTAACTTTAGCTCAATACAACCAGAGTAAGTCAGTGCTAGATCAAGGTTCCCCGTAATCACTTACTAATGAAATCTGAGTTTCGAGCGACCACCCAGTAGCATACCAATCGTTAACAATCTAACGAAGCCTGCGGGAAAAGAAACACAATCTTGACAAAGTTTATATATACTTGCGCATGGGCCTTGTAAGAGGACAATCTCTCCTGGACAGCCGGGAATACAACGGACTGGGGCACTTAGCCAAAGTGTGTTTATAAACATGGGACAAACATGAATAGCAAACTAACTATTATATCCATACGAAGGTAAGTATCAAAATAAAGCGCTTAACATAAGCTATCCAACAGTATCATTAAAAGATTTACAACAAGCTATGTACAATTATTGAGGCGGCAAAAATTATCATAAATACATGAGAAATATCTGAGTGTACATATAAATTCCCCTAATGTTTGAAAATCATAGTCACAAAAACATTTTCAACACATGAATAAGGTAGTGAAGATATAAGAGATAACAAACATCAAGTCAAAACATGGTGAGAGTGCGTAATTAAATCACAAGAGAACACAATATGAGGGTAACTAATTCTCTAACTTAGAATGCAATGACACTGTACATCGACGATCAGCAGAAACCAGGCAATTAAAGAGGGGGAGCAGTCAATCACTAGACTGCGACACAAGCAGTATTATGACCCGGTGACACTGAACACCTAATAAGGAGAACAAATGGACGGAGTGTGAACACTGACTGCTGTAAACATAACACATCCTGATTCATTTACTAGTATCTAGTATGTACTTTTCCTCTCCAAAATAAGATTGACCCTTCAACAATATCCCAAAGATCAGGCATTTTTTATTTCTTGGTTTACAGATTGGTAGGTGTGAGGAAATACTCAAAAGGACAATTACAGATGACTTATTTGTCCCCTTAAATTGTACTTGAATGTGTTATGTGCAGTTTGTTGATCCCATGTTGTTAGTCTTCCACTTCAATATGTTGTATACGTATTATTTTTGTAGTTAACATCCAAGACTGCATTTCAGCAGAATTATATAGAAGCGATCTTCAGTTTATGTTTTTGTCGCTTTTCATATTTGTTAAGGGTTGGTGGATCTGGACACCAACTACCCCTATTGCGAAAGATAAAAACATATCTAGATACTCCATTAATTCTTATTTTGATTGAGACCTACTCAAACACAAATTACTTTTCTTCAGTAAGACATTCATAAGTCATGATATAAGCAATGTTGGTTATGTTTGTATTGCATCACGCATGAGTAACCTGGAAGTTCCTCGGAGAAGTTATCTGGACTTATTCCGTTGGTTTTCTCTAAAAAGCCATCTCTCACTTACACACCTCTCTATGTTATCCTTGGCAGTGTCAGAATCACACTTGTTGAGAACAATCAGCATGGGGAAGCGAACACTGAGGAACTCCGTCACAATGTTGTGCAGCACATCACCATTCCAGGACGACAATCTGGACAGCTCTCTGCAACACAACATCTCAGTACATAACACAACCAGGAGGAGCCCCTCCTAAAACCAGCAGTCTTCTCACACAGACAGGCTGCCAATAGGGGGCCAACAAGAACACAACATGGTCTGGTCATCATCAAAAGGACAAATGTAGGAGAGGGTTATCAAAACACAGAACTTACAGAAAGCGAGGGTCACTTTGTCTCAGTACACTAACAAGGTTTTACCAGATGCAGAATATTGTGTCCTTTAAACATGAAACTTAAGGATGAAAGTAAATAATATCCACGGTAGGGTGCCAATGAGTCATAGTGGAGGCAAAAGAGCATACACATTTGAATGCTTGAAACCAACTAAAGTGATGCATCTACATAAGATTTATCATCTTCCCGAGGGAAGGGAGTTAACTGACTGTAAAAGCCCAGTTTCCACCCTTGCCAAACTAGGCTGGAATTCCTGGGCTTGATCGAAGCGCCACCCGTGGTTATTATGAGTTATGTCCCTTATAAGCCTCTCCTACGGACCAGTCAGATTCCACCTCTCGTATCACATGCATGTGTTTCACACAAAATGGCGGCGCCCAGTCAAGACGATCTGATCGATAATCAAGATCTATATTGTGATAAAACGAGTCTTACCTCGCGAAGTGCATCAAATCACATGAGCACCTTGATTAAAAACGTGAAAAGACTTGGAAAATATCTGTCGACCGAAATCTGCATGACAGTTTACTGACTGGATTTTGATTTCAGGGCGCGATTTTGATTGGACTAAACATAGACTCGTTAGTCAAGCCAAAATGTAACTCCATAATACCAGCTTAGTTTGGCGGAAACTGGACTTTTATAGTCAGTTAACATTCTTAACAAAGTCTTTGAAAAATAAATTCCAGTTTTATTGGAATGTTCAAACCTTTTATTGACAGTCTGGCTGTGGTTCAGCACATTTCATAGCATGCCCCTAGCTGTCAGTCTGTATTGTAATAAAACGGGTCTTACATTTGCAAAGTGCATGAAATGACTTGAGCACCATGATTCAAAACATGAAAAGCTTTGGAAATATCTGTTGACACCCAGCTGACAGTATACATGCTTTCCAAATCCTGCAATTGACTGAAACATGGCAGTTGCCACTTTGCTTATAAACCAGATGTCGATTATGTTACACGATTTTGATTGGACTATGCATATACTTGTTAGTCCAGCCAAAATAAAACTCCAAACTTCTAGCTTAGTTCAGTAAGGGTGGACACTGGACTTTTATAGTCAGCTAACTCCCATGTCTAGGGAAGATGGTCTTAATATTGATGACTACACATCATGAACTTTACCTTATATCATTGAAAAACTTACTTGTCTCCTATCCCTGCCCTATCGAGTACATCGTGTATTGTGGCCTTGGTGGCATGGTAGCCGGTAAACATGTCCACCAGCTTCTGAGGCCGGCGTTTAATTGCATCCCACTTGTCCATGATGTTCTGATAGATCCACTGACTACAACAGAAGTGTTTCATTATCTAGATGAACAATGGCAGTAATTAAGTACCTGTAAGTGACTCATTATTGCTTAACGCAGCCACTCACAGACAAAATAGTAGAAAGAATAATAATAAGGAATTCTGAGTAAGCAATGTGAAAACAATTCATCAAAATCATAAGGCTGCATCACAGAAACATGAGCACCTGTTAATTGTAATCTTTTAGCTTCTTTAGGTTCCTAATCATGATAACGGTTGGTAGGAGACTAGTATACTGTTTTTGCAGAAAGTGATAGGTTCTTACTGCAGCTCTTGCTGTATCCACCACACGTCTCTGCTGGGGTCGTACTCCTCCGTCTCACGCCCCTTCTCGTCTGTCTTCCCTGAAACATCCAGGATGTGGACCAGGACATCAGCGTCCAGCAGGTCATTAAGGAACCTGTAGAGAGTATGCACAGTGAATTCAGGCTGGTTGGTCCCCACACTGTACATGGCATCCCCAGTAGGCCTAACACAGCCTGCCCTGCTTAGGCTGGTCCCCACACTTTACATGGCATCCCTAGTAGGCCTAACACAGCCTGCCCTGTTTCAGGCTGGTCCCCACACTTTACACGACATCCCCAGTAGGCCTAACACAGCCTGCCCTGCTTAAGGCTGGTCCCCACACTTTACACGACATCCCCAGTAGGCCTAATACAGCCTGCCCTGTTTCAGGCTGGTCCCCACACTTTACACGACATCCCCAGTAGGCCTAACCAAGCCTACCCTGCTTCAGGCTGGTCCCCACACTTTACATATCCCCAGTAGGCCTAACACAGCCTGCCCTGCTTAAGGCTGGTCCCTACACTTTAGACGACATCCCCAGTAGGCCTAACACAGCCTGCCCTGTTTCAGGCTGGTCCCCACACTTTACATGACATCCCTAGTAGGCCTAACACAGCCTGTCCTGCTTAAGGCTGGTCCCACACTTTACATAGAATCCCCAGTAGGCCTAACACAGCCTGTCCTGCTTAAGGCTGGTCCCCACACTTTACATGGTATCCCGAGTAGGCCTAACACAGCCGACCCTGCTTAAGGCTGGTCCCACACTTTACATTGCATCCCCAGTAGGCCTAACACAGCCTGTCCTGCTTCAGGCTGGTCCCACACTTTACATGACATCCCCAGTAGGCCTAACACAGCCTGCCCTGCTTAAGGCTGGTCCCCACACTTTACACGACATCCCCAGTAGACCTAACACAGCCTGTCCTGCTTAAGGCTGGTCCCCACACTTTACTAGACATCCCCAGTAGGCCTAACACAGTCTGCCCTGTTTCAGGCTGGTCCCCACACTTAACATGACATCCCCAGTAGGCCTAACCAAGCCTACCCTGCTTAAGGCTGGTCCCCACACTTTACATGACATCCCCAGTAGGCCTAAAACAGCCTGCCCTGCTTCAGGCTGGTTCCCACACTTTACATGGCATCCCCAGTGGGCTTACACAGCCTGCCCTGCTTAAGACTGGTCCCCACACTTTACACGACATCCCCAGTAGGCCTAACACAGCCTGTCCTGCTTCAGGCTGGTCCCACACTTTACATGGCATCCCTAGTAGGCCTAACACAGCCTGCCCTGTTTCAGGCTGGTCCCCACACTTTACACGACATCCCCAGTAGGCCTAACACAGCCTGCCCTGCTTAAGGCTGCCCCCCACACTTTACATGACATCCCCAGTAGGCCTAACACAGCCTGCCCTGTTTCAGGCTGGTCCCCCCACTTTACACGACATCCCCAGTAGGCCTAACCAAGCCTACCCTGCTTAAGGCTGGTCCCCACACTTTACATGACATCCCCAGTAGGCCTAACACAGCCTGCCCTGCTTCAGGCTGGTTCCCACACTTTACATGGCATCCCCAGTAGGCTTACACAGCCTGCCCTGCTTAAGACTGGTCCCCACACTTTACACGACATCCCCAGTAGGCCTAACACAGCCTGTCCTGCTTCAGGCTGGTCCCCGCACTTTACATGGCATCCCTAGTAGGCCTAACACAGCCTGCCCTGTTTCAGGCTGGTCCCCACACTTTACATGACATCCCCAGTAGGCCTAACACAGCCTGCCATGCTTCAGGCTTGTCCCACACTTTACATGACATCCCCAGTAGGCCTAACACAGCCTGCCCTGTTTCAGGCTGGTCCCCACACTTTACACGACATCCTCAGTAGGCCTAACCAAGCCTACCCTGCTTCAGGCTGGTCCCCACACTTTACATGACATCCCCAGTAGGCCTAACACAGCCTGCCCTGCTTAAGGCTGGTCCCATACTTTACATGGCATCCCCAGTAGGCCTTACACAGCCTGCCATGCTTCAGGCTGGTCCCCACACTTTACACGACATCCCCAGTAGGCCTAACACAGCCTGCCCTGCTTCAGGCTGGTCCCCACACTTTACACGACATCCCCAGTAGGCCTAACACAGCCTGCCCTGCTTAAGGCTGGTCCCCACACTTTACATGACATCCCCAGTAGGCCTAACACAGCCTGCCCTGTTTCAGGCTGGTCCCCACACTTTACACGACATCCCCAGTAGGCCTAACCAAGCCTACCCTGCTTCAGGCTTGTCCCCACACTTTACATGACATCCCCAGTAGGCCTAACACAGCCTGCCCTGCTTAAGGCTGGTCCCATACTTTACATGGCATCCCCAGTAGGCCTTACACAGCCTGCCCTGCTTCAGGCTGGTCCCCACACTTTACACGACATCCCCAGTAGGCCTAACACAGCCTGCCATGCTTCAGGCTGGTCCCCACACTTTACATGGCATCCCCAGTAGGCCTTAAGGGGCATTCACACGGTACAACTAGTTGTATACAATTTGTTGCATGCAACTAGTTGCACGAACTGAAGTTGTATACAACTCGGCATTCACACGGCGGCGAGTTGCATACAACTCGGATCTCGCGAGATCTCAATTTTTAAGACAATGTTTACATTACGTCATGGCGTCCGCGTATGACTATGATAGCGATGACGATATACTTGAGATTGCCACAGTTGCGTTGCTTGTGGATTGTTCACAAGTAAGAACCAAGCGGTCATGTTGGGTCAGGCCATGGATTGCTAGGCGAGGGCAATTTGGAGCATACAGCGCTCTTTTGGCTGAGCTCGAAGCCGAGGATACAAAGGCCTTCTCCAATTTTCTTCGCATGAACAAGTCAAGCTTCACCGATCTCCTAGATCGCGTGTCACCTCTTATTGCCAAAACAGACACCCCCATGCGTGATGCCATTCCACCCGGTGAGAAGTTGGCCATTACTCTCCGCTATCTAGCCACCGGTAAGTATACTCTTGCGAAAAGAGATCTATTGTTTACCCGTGATCAGCTGTTATTGAAGGGCAAGGACACGATGAACAGGCAAATGCTCCTCACATTGTACAATGGCATAATCGCTTGTTATGCATCAACGGAATAAGTGTGCGAGGAGCTTTGAACGAGGGTCTAACTGTGTGCCCGCCAGCTTTTCGCATATGTTATTGTATCTGTTACGTTACCTAAAATAAAGATTAGGCCAATCACTACCTCCAACAAACACATTGCTACATCTCATCATACCAGTATATAGGCAAACAGTAAAACTGAGTATGGGTGAATGAGAATGCTTGATTTTCCACTGTAAGTCTATTACCTTTAATGTATTGCCATAGAAAACATAAACGCTCATTTTGAAGATGAATTGTATTTATTTTGTACATGTTCAGGTATATTTCATCAATGTGAAGTGTCTGTTTTGAAATATAAATATGTTAAGTGCAGACAATTTCTTCTTCGCACAATTGATCACATACAGCTTTATTATTTCAAAATATTTTTCTTATTACATTTTACTCAATTAAATTATTCAAAACCCGCAAACAATTCTTTATTTGACACAAATACATAGGCACTTTAAATTGGCATGTTAACATTAAGAGACACAACCACCATCTTTGGCATTTACATTCTCATTCTGGGTCTGTTACTTAGAATTAATTAATTAGAAATGTTAGTTAGAATTAATGTTGTTTTTATTCTATAAAAAAATAATTACAAGTTCAGATCATGACATATTTTCATCAATTATTATTGTGAACTGTATATATCAAAGTGATATAATAATTGACACAAGTGTGTAAATAACCAGATGCCATGAAACAGTTTCATTTACATTTGTTATTGATTCAAAGATGTGAAAATTATTACATATGTACTACATGAAGTGGGTATGCAATTGTAAATGATATAATAATTGATTTAAGTTTAAATTCTACTTTGTATTACATCTTTTTATGGTAGGTAATGTTATCTCCAAGATTGAGTGATGCTATAATGATAATCTATGAATACATATTTTTATGGTTTTTTTAATTTTCAACAGGAGATAGTTACAAGTCACTGGAATATCTATACAGAATACCAAGCAACACAATATGTGGATTTATTCCTCATGTCTGCCAAGCGATTTATGACTCATTGAAGGATGATTGCCTGAAGGTATTGTTGATATTTTTATTAAAAATTATTTCCTGAAAGCAAAGTTTATTGAAAACAATATAAATAGCATAGGCACCAGTTGACAACCTGGTCTTTTGTGTGTGTACAGTTTCAAGAAAGAGTACTGGTCTGGATATGGTCTGGAAAAACACACCACTATGTACAGAGTCAAAGTAAAAATTGTTGCCATGGAAACATGAATTTTTTTAAAAATTCTAATTGACAAAATGCACCACATCATCCCCTGATTAATACATATACAAGGTTTGGTCAAAACTCTCATGTTTTTCAAATTGTGCATCATAAATAACCTCTAAATAACAGTTCCACTTCAGTTGTCTAACTGAGCTTCAAAAATTAATTGTTGTATTTTTATTTTTAATTCTTGTCTCTTTCTGTCATTGGTGACATTTGTTAATTCACTCGCTATGTATTTAGCAAACAACATGTCCCCACTATTCTCTTTTGCTGCCCTTCTTTGCTCAAGTGATTTCAGTGTTTGCAGAACTTGTGTTTGCAAACTGTTATTGTCTGAGCGCCTTGCTTTCTTGATTGGTGTTGACTCTGCCAGGGGCAGAGAAGGGCAGTCTTCTGTATCCATTTGACTTGTGAACAAACTGTCAGAGGCGCTGCTTTGCTCCTGTTCATCTGTGTCTTGTCTCTCTGAGCTGTTCTGTAAATTTAAGGTTCCAATGTTATCCTTTATTTTTTATTTCCAATTTCAGGTTCCAACCACAGAACAGGAATGGGCAGACATTAGTCAGGGATTCAGTGACAAGTGGCAATTCCCACACTGTATAGGAGCACTGGATGGGAAACACATTGCCATTCGGGCCCCTACAAACTCTGGATCATTGTATTACAATTATAAAAATTTCTTCAGCATTGTTTTGTTGGCCCTTGTTGATGCAAATTATAAGTTTATTTATGTTGACATAGGAGCCAATGGAAGAGCCAGTGATGCAGGTATATTTGCAAACTCCTCATTGTATGCAGCTATGGAGAACAATACTCTGAATGTACCACCCCCTTCCCCCCTTACTGGACGCCAAGAACCTGTGCCCCATGTCATTGTTGGGGATGATGCTTTCCCACTAAAGACATATATCATGAAACCATTTCCCTTTAGAGATACTACAGAGGACAAAAAGGTCTTCAATTATCGCCTTTCTAGAGCTAGACGTGTCTCTGAAAATGCATTTGGCATACTTGTAAACAGATTTGCTGTATTTCAAAGAACTATTACTGTTGAACCTGAAAATGGCATTAAGATTGTTATGGCATCTGTGGCTCTTCACAACTTTCTTCGCACAAAATGTGACAATGTTTACACAGAATCAAATAGCACTGATATTTCTGTTGTAAGAGAGAGTAGAGCAACATCACTTGTCCAGCAAGGGGGAAACAGAAACACTGCCAATGCAAGAACTGTTAGAGAGGAATTTGCTGAATATTTTTCTACAAATGGTCAGGTTCAGTGGCAATGGGACCATGTCATCTAAAGTTATATTTCTAATACCCTTTACCTATAGTACAGATGTATATCACACATTGTACCCATGTCGGGAATCGAACCCAAGGTCTTCGGCGTGACAAGCGAACCCTTTAACCACAGGCCGCCCTCATTTGAATGAATTTTATCAACAAAATCATGATAATGATAAATATGCCTATTTTCATGACACCAACCATGTTGTTTACTGTGTTCTTTTGATGAACCTGCCTCCTGAGAAATGGATCCAGAAGTTGGAACCATTCCCATGTGGAAACATAGACCTCATCGGTCCCTGCTCCACTCTTCTTGGACAGGGTCTCCTTCCTCAGCTCCTTACCATAGTATGTTCGTAAGGTAGAAATTTTAGTTGGGACTTGATCAACTAGAAGAGACATAAATATTATCATATTAGTATCAAATGCTGGAAACAAGAAAGTGACGGGTAGTTGGATTCTTTAACAATGTTTACTGATGGAGTGAATGTAATTCAATATTACATTTAGGGACTGAATTTATTAAGATTAAGATACACAACACAGAGCAATTTAGGTTTTATTACATAAGAACATAAATAAACATGAACTTGAGTTCATTAGTGTGAACAATCTGATAACATTATAGAACTGTGTGGAATTAACATAATGATTGATAACACACACACATGACAAAGTAAGACTATTTGTAAGACTGTTATTTGGAATATGCTCATGTACTTTATGATCATGTCTGAAAATCATCATGGAAATATATGTCTACTTGAATTAACTGTGATATGAATTGTTGCTAATATAATTTAAATGATTTTTGTATGTATATATGCAGCTGTACAATATGATTGATTGTTAATATTTCATTGTTGTAAAATGTCCAGATAAAATATAATTAATCACTGAGCCGGAATATTCCTTATCATTTCATAGAATAACATACTTAAGCGGTCTCTATTCCAACATTAGCATGACATGTATCACTCCAATGGAGCCTCTCGCATGTAGGTCAAATAGTGTAAACAGAAAAGCGTGCATCGACATTAAAAAGGGTTGTAATAACATATATCGGTGACTGCACATAGTATGAGATATAGCTTCTCAAATTCAACATCATTTCAAGCTGAACACGTATTTCTGATTCATTTTATGTTCGTTGATCTGTCTGAACACGCTCGAAGAGCAGACGTACGTTGTACACACCTATCAATCGCCGAAGTAAGAGGTCAGAGTTCATCACATAAAACAATGAATTAGAAGTATGAAATCGTTATCTGACCCTTCTATGTGTACACATGTACCAAACTAACCATTTCCGCATTGTCATAATACCCGAAAACGAGTACAGCTTCTACAAATGCCGTGTGTCACCAGCTGATACTTCGCATATCATGTTCATCAATTCTCACCTGTAATCCCATTACCCATCATCTCTGCAATAGAGATGTAGGCTGCTTGTCGGTGTTCCCGCTTGGAATAAAATGGACTGGATACATTCCACAAGCAATCATGGGACGCATAATAGCCGATAAACCGCTCTGTTTCCACTCTAGACATCTCAAATTTCTTCAAGCGGGACGCTGGGGTCGCCATGATTGTTTACATTTGGAGGTGAAAATATCACGTGATTTGGATACGCGTTTTGATTGGCTGCGTACGTACAACTTGTCGCATGAAAATAGAGCATGTCCTATTCCGTACAACTCACGTCCAACAAGTTGCATGCGTCAAAAGTTGGACCGACTTGCCCGTTCACACGATGCAATGTGTTGCATGCAACAAATTGTATACAACTAGTTGTACCGTGTGAATGCCCCTTAACACAGCCTGCCCTGCTTAAGGCTGGTCCCCCCACTTTACATGGCATCCCTAGTAGGCCTAACACAGCCTGCCATGCTTCAGGCTGGTCCCCACACTTTACATGACATCCCCATTAGGGCTAACACAGCCTGCCATGCTTCAGGCTGGTCCCCACACTTTACATGGCATCCCTAGTAGGCCTAACACAGCCTGCCATGCTTCAGGCTGGTCCCCACACTTTACATGACATCCCCATTAGGGCTAACACAGCCTGCCATGCTTCAGGCTTGTCCCCACACTTTACATGACATCCCCAGTAGGCCTAACACAGCCTGCCCTGCTTCAGGCTGGTCCCCACACTTAACATGGCATCCCCAGTAGGCCTAACACAGCCTGCCATGCTTCAGGCTGGTCCCCACACTTTACATGGCATCCCCAGTAGGCCTAACACAGCCTGCCCTGCTTCAGGCTGGTCCCCACACTTTACATGGCATCCCCAGTAGGCCTAACACAGCCTGCCCTGTTTCAGGCTGGTCCCCACACTTTACATGGCATCCCCAGTAGGCCTTACACAGCCTGCCCTTACTGACCTGCTTGTCCTTTCTTATCTTAGATTAACCTCATTGGGTAAGATTAAGTTTGCCACATTACTTCCTCGCTGTATGAATGGTTATTCTACACTTTCAATGGTTTGATTGACAGCCTTGAAGTCACTTGTGACACTCTCGACATCAACCCATGAGAGAGTGCAATAGCCTTACACGAGGAAGTGATTGGATCATTGATTTGTACTGTCTTTCAGAACTGTCTCGCAAGCATTTTGCAAATGATGATGACATCATTTCTGCTATGGAGAACTTTTTTCACCACCTGGGGGAAGCCTTCTACACCAATGGGATTTAGGCACCTCCAGCACCGTTGGCAGATGTATGTGGACCTTGGAGGGGATAATGTATAAAAATAAATGAAATCAACTCCATCAACGCATCTTAGAAAGGCTCTAAACGTTTCAGTTACCCCTAACAGACTTCTGACCATCATGGCCTACCTGTTCCCCCTGCCCAGGCCCTCCCATGCTCCAGGCACCAGGCCGGCCACATCCTTCAGCAACACCGGCACATTGCGGTCCCCACAGACGTTGTGGCCATAAGCTGCAGCAATAAAGCCAGAAACTAGCTTTCAGTTACAAGAAACAACATACAGTGTATAACATTCTAGCATGATAGAAAGTCCAATCATTGAAGTCACTGGATTTATATTCTTGCAACATGTTCTTAAGTTTTGTTCATATTGTGATATCTGTGTTTTTTTATAATCATGCTTTTATGCAACAACATGAAAGCGTTACTTCACAGATACAAGAGATTCAGCTAATCGAAGTACTAGTGTAGGTATTGAGCCAGTAACCTGCAGCACACATCTTCTCAAGTCCCCTGCAGGGACAGGGGGTGGAGTAGAAAGCCTTGCCAATGTTAGGCTCTATGGTGGTGAATGGGTGAGCCCCTGTTTTAGCCATATCTAGTGTTGTAGCTGCATTAAAGAAGGTGGATTTGCCAGCAGATGGTTTCCCCTGAAATTCAACAATGACAAAAAATAAATATTACAGATATTCGGTGAATATTGAATTGATTACTGCATGGATACCATTTTCATCACTAATGCACAAATACCTGTAGCTGGAAGTATGTTTGAATCCATTCAAGTTTGTATAGGGTAATATCCTTCCAGAAAACTAAATAAAACCAGCAGATATATATTCTCAAATACCCAGTGTGTTACATCTCCATTTTATTATAAGACCTGAGCCTGTTATCTACCATATCATTGTCTGAATGTGATTGTCATGAGAAAATGCTGAAACTAGCTAGCCAATCAAATGAGGTTATTGTGATTGAAATCCTGTTAATGTCAGTTACTGATAAGAGAAAGCAAACTGGAAATGACAGTTACAACATTGGTAATATATCTCCAGGGCTCGTATTTCGGTAAACCTAGTCTAACTCCTGGACCCATCCCCATAGTTCTTGCAATCAAATTACTTGCCCTTGATTTTCATTTTACCAACCAATCAAACAATGAGGTAAGGAAAAAGAAAATGGGTAAGGGTGGTAACTTGTATTGCTGAGAAAGATAGCTTCGGCACATAAAGACATCCTTTTCATCAAAAATATTTTTGAGGGCTTTTGTGAGTTGAAATCGTTGAATTTCCTGCAAACACTATTGTAACCAGAGGGCCTGGCTGCTATGATGTTGATATCGCCAACCCAACATTGAGGCTGGTTTGTAACTTGCATTCTAATTCGTATGTTAGATCTAGTAGCGTAGCCAATCAAATTGGCTAAAGAAAATCAAGAGTGTGTAATTTAAGATAGCGAGAACCATGGGGATTTGTCCATGGGATAGTGTAGGTTTGCTGGAGATACAGAGGATGTGGTAATGGTGGAAAATCTCTTTTCTTTTTGAGGTTTAAAAGTGTTTTATCCGGAAGGTTGATCTCAAGATGCTCTAATATGATGCTGGAATGCAGGATGTTGATGTATTAGAACCAGAGGAAGCCCTCATGAAAAACTGGTCTTCAACAACGCATTTGTCATAGGAGGCGACAAGCAGAATCAGGTCGTCAGATTTGCTGTCTTAGTTGATGCATGCCATCATATCCGAACTGCGTAGATTGATGCTCTTAATGTCAATAACTGCACTGTCTGGCCAAGACTTGATTATTTACAGGCTGCCCTCCTATAACTGGAAGACTGCTAGTACTGCCTTAAAAAACTAACAAAACAAGTAAAGCTTTTCAGCCTCGTTGTAAACCTACATAATATGCAATTTAACACTAGCATAATACTGACCAGAAGGCCAATGACGAAGTCCCATCGCCCTCCAGCTGGCCTGGCCTCTGTCAGGATGCGTTGTGGGCTGGTAGGGGAGACATCTTCCTCACTTGGCTCCTGTACAAAGAACATTTTAGCACTGTACTTGAAGGAGAATGATCTTTTCTGTTAGTTTTAGCTGACCGCATGTACACATACTTTAATCTAAATAATACATAAGATGAAAGATGCATGAGCAAGAAGTTCTGCTTGACAGGCTGGTGGTGGAGATGCAGCAACAACTCACATCCTAGTGGGAGTGAGTCAGTGTTCAACAACTCACATTCTAGTGGGAGTGAGTCAGTGTTCAACAACTCACATTCTAGTGAGTGTGAGTCAGTGTTCAACAACTCACATTCTAGTGGGAGTGAGTCAGTGTTCAACAACTCACATTCTAGTGAGTGTGAGTCAGTGTTCAACAACTCACATTCTAGTGAGTGTGAGTCAGTGTTCAACAACTCACATTCTAGTGAGTGTGAGTCAGTGTTCAACAACTCACATTCTAGTGAGTGTGAGTCAGTGTTCAACAACTCACATTCTAGTGGGAGTGAGTCAGTGTTCAACAACTCACATTCTAGTGAGTGTGAGTCAGTGTTCAACAACTCACATTCTAGTGAGTGTGAGTCAGTGTTCAACAACTCACATTCTAGTGGGTGTGAGTCAGTGTTCAACAACTCACATTCTAGTGGGTGTGAGTCAGTGTTCAACAACTCACATTCTAGTGAGTGTGAGTCAGTGTTCAACAACTCACATTCTAGTGAGTGTGAGTCAGTGTTCAACAACTCACATTCTAGTGAGTGTGAGTCAGTGTTCAACAACTCACATTCTAGTGGGGGTGAGTCAGTGTTCAACAACTCACATTCTAGTGGGAGTGAGTCAGTGTTCAACAACTCACATTCTAGTGGGAGTGAGTCAGTGTTCAACAACTCACATTTTGGTGTGAGTCAATGTTTCTTCAACAGCTCACATTTTAGTGGGAAGGAGTCAATATTTCTTCAACAACTCACATTCTAGTGGGAGTGAGTCAATGTTTCTTCAATAACTCACATTCTAGTGGGAGTGAGTCAATGTTTCTTCAACAACTCACATAATAGCGGGAGTGAGTCAATGTTTCTTCAACAACTCACACTCTAGTGGGTGTGAGTCAGTGTTCAACAACTCACATTCTGGTGTGAGTCAATGTTTCTTCAACAGCTCACATTTTAGTGGGAGTGAGTCAATGTTTCTTCAACAACTCACATTCTAGTGGGAGTGAGTCAATGTTTCTTCAATAACTCACATTCTAGTGGGAGTGAGTCAATGTTTCTTCAACAACTCACATACTAGTGGGTGTGAGTGTATGTTTCTTCAATAACTAACATTCTAGTTGGAGTGAGTCAATGTTTCTTCAACAGCTCATATTCTAGTGGGAGTGAGTGTATGTTTCTTCAATAACTCACATTCTAGTGGGAGTGAGTCAATGTTTCTTCAACAGCTCATACTCTAGTGGGAGTGAGTCAATGTTTCTTCAAAAACTCACATTCTAGTGGGAGTGAGTCAATGTTTCTTCAATAACTCATATTCTAGTGGGAGTGAGTCAATGTTTCTTCAACGGCTCACATTCTAGTGGGAGTGAGTCAATGTTTCTTCAATAACTCACATTCTAGTGGGAGTGAGTCAATGTTTCTTCAATAACTCACATTCTTGTGGGAGTGAGTCAATGTTTCTTCAACAGCTCACATAACAGTGGGTACGAGTCAATGTTTCTTCAACAACTCACATTTTGGTGTGAGTCAGTGTTTCTTCAATAACTCACATTCTAGTTGGAGTGAGTCAATGTTTCTTCAATAACTCACATTCTAGTGGGAGTGAGTCAATGTTTCTTCAATAACTCACATTCTAGTCTCAACTGTGTATCAACAAAGATAAACTGTCACAGGAGAAACTTGTACTTGGTAAAGCTATACACCTGTAACACTTATACCTGGTCCTGCTCCTGCTCCTGCACTGTGGACGTGTGAACATTGTCCGAGATCCACTGTTGGGCTTCATCCACCAGGGTAAACACCATGCCCATACCAACATTGTCCTCTGCCTGTAACCATGACAACAACACAAACAACATAGCCCTCAGACAACTCCTCCATGATTACAGTTTGCATTATCCATGATTTATTTCAACATTACCGTGTACCCACATTGAAAGACCAAGTGTACCAGCACATCGGTTACTTCAAACTATATAAAGACATGTGGTACAGTTTAAGAAAAACTTTTTCCATTTCTATAACCCATAAAGTTTAAAACAAATTAATTCTAATGATATGGGTTTTTTTTAATCTTAAAGTCAGGAACCCAATAAATCAAGAACATCTTGTTCAGACCATTGTCGTCAACTGGGAATGTTACAAGTTGGGAATGCAGTGAATGTGTGAGTGAAAGTTGTTGAACCTGTAGTCAGCTATATCCAGAATAATTCATAGCAGCCTCTTGTTAACAGTCTTAGTCTGGACGAGGCAAAATTAGACGGAAACATGGGCAATGATCTACATCATCGGGGCACAATGTTCAAACCCTTCTGGGCAAAATGTTTCGCCCCTTCTGGCCTCAATGTTCCACCTTTCTGGGCACAATGTTCCATATCATCAGGGTACAATGTTCCACCCCTTTCTGGGCACAATGTTCCACTACTTCTGGGCACTATGTTCCACATCATCGGGGCACAATGTTCCATCCCTTCTGGGAACAATGTTCCACATCATCAGGGCACAATGTTCCAGCCTTCTGGGAACAATGTTCCACATCATTGGGGCACAATGTTCCACCCCTTTCTGGGCACAATGTTCGACCCCTTCTGGGCACTATGTTCCACATCATCGGGGCACAATGTTCCACCCCTTCTGGGAACAATGTTCCACATCATCGGGGCACAATGTTCCACCCCTTCTGGGCACAATGTTCCACATCATCGGGGCACAATGTTCCACATCATCGGGGCACAATGCTCCAGATCATCAGGGCACAATGTTCCACCCCTTCTGGGAACAATGTTCCACATCATTGGGGCACCACCTTCACATCATCGGGGCACATTGTTCCACCCCTTTTGGGCACTATGTTCCACATCATCGGGGCACAATATTCCACCCCTTCTGGGCACAATGTTCCACATCATCGGGGCACAATGTTCCACCCCTTTTGGGCACAATGTTCCACATCATCGGGGCACAATGTTCCACCCCTTTTGGGCACAATGTTCCACATCATCAGGGCACAATGTTCCACCCCTTCTGGGCCGAATCCGATATAAATCCCTGTGACGTTCACAGAGTGAAAAAATGCATTTTAAGGGTAGTTGGGAGCATGTTCAAAGTGCATGTTCATGTTCATCAGGGCACAATGTTCCACCCCTTCTGGGAACAATGTTCCACATCATCGGGGCACAATGTTCCACCCCTTCTTGGAACAATGTTCCACATCATCAGGGCACAATGTTCCACCCCTTCTGGGAACAATGTTCCACATCATCGGGGCACAATGTTCCACATCATCAGGGCACAATGTTCCACCCCTTCTGGAAACAATGTTCCACATCATCTGGGCACAATGTTCCACCCCTTCTGGGCACAATGTTCCACCCCTCCTGGGAACAATGTTCCACATCATCGGGGCACAATGTTCCACCCCTTTTGGGCACTATGTTCTACATCATCAGGGCACAATGTTCCACCCCTTCTGGGAACAATGTTCCACATCATCAGGGCACAATGTTCCACCCCTTCTTGGAACAATGTTCCACATCATCAGGGCACAATGTTCCACCCCTTCTGGGAACAATGTTCCACATCATCGGGGCACAATGTTCCACATCATCGGGGCACAATGTTCCATCCCTTCTGGAAACAATGTTCAGCATCATCGGGGCACAATGTTCCACCCCTTTTGGGCACTATGTTCTACATCATCAGGGCACAATGTTCCACCCCTTCTGGGAACAATGTTCCACATCATCAGGGCACAATGTTCCACCCCTTCTGGGAACAATGTTCCACATCATCGGGGCACAATGTTCCACATCATCAGGGCACAATGTTCCACCCCTTTCTGGGAACAATGTTCCACATCATCGGGGCACAATGTTCCACCCCTTCTGGGAACAATGTTCCACATCATCAGGGCACAATGTTCCACCCCTTCTGGGAACAATGTTCCACATCATCGGGGCACAATGTTCCACATCATCAGGGCACAATGTTCCACCCCTTCTGGAACAATGTTCCACATCATCTGGGCACAATGTTCCACCCCTTCTGGGAACAATGTTCCACATCATCGGGGCACAATGTTCCACCCCTTCTGGGAACAATGTTCCACATCATCGGGGCACAATGTTTCACATCATCGGGGCACAATGTTCCACATCATCAGGGCACAATGTTCCACCCCTTCTGGGAACAATGTTCCACATCATCAGGGCACAATGTTCCACCCCTTCTGGAACAATGTTCCACATCATCTGGGCACAATGTTCCACCCCTTCTGGGAACAATGTTCCACATCATCGGGGCACAATGTTCCACCCCTTCTGGGAACAATGTTCCACATCATCGGGGCACAATGTTTCACATCATCGGGGCACAATGTTCCACATCATCAGGGCACAATGTTCCACCCCTTCTGGGAACAATGTTCCACATCATCGGGGCACAATGTTTCACATCATCGGGGCACAATGTTCCACCCCTTTTAGGCACTATGTTCTACATCATCAGGGCACAATGTTCCACCCCTTCTGGGAACAATGTTCCACATCATCAGGGTACAATGTTCCACCCCTTCTGGGAACAATGTTCCACATCATCAGGGCACAATGTTCCACCCCTTCTGGGAACAATGTTCCACATCATTGGGGCACAATGTTCCACCCCTTCTGGGAACAATGTTCCACATCATTGGGGCACAATGTTCCACATCATCGGGGCACAATGCTCCAGATCATCAGGGCACAATGTTCCAACCCTTCTGGGAACAATGTTCCACATCATTGGGGCACAATGTTTCACATCATCGGGGCACATTGTTCCACCCCTTTTGGGCACTATGTTCCACATCATCGGGGCACAATATTCCACCCCTTCTGGGCACAATGTTCCACATCATCGGGGCACAATGTTCCACCCCTTTTGGGCACAATGTTCCACATCATCGGGGCACAATGTTGCAACCCATCGGGGCACAATGTTCCACATCATCAGGGCACAATGTTCCACCCCTTCTGGGCCGAATCCGATATAAATCCCTGTGACGTTCACAGAGTGAAAAAATGCATTTTAAGGGTAGTTGGGAGCATGTTCAAAGTGCAAAAGGTCAAAATTTGAAAAAGGGCAAGATAATCGAATGTTTTTGTTGAGCCTCAGTACTTAAACAAACAAACCCCACACACACCAAATTATATTTTGAACAAAAATGAGTAATGGCCACAAGAGGTTTCAATTCTCGAAATGGTTGACGTGCAAAGGTCAAATAAAGGTCAAAATTTAAAATATTGAAAAAGCGGAACATCTGTGTCCAGCCCCATTACTAACTAACATACAAAATTGTATTTCTAATATAGCTTTTCCAATATGGCTGCTGACCATGTGAAGATCCGAAATAGAACAGGTCTTCAGCTACCCATGGTTGCCGTCATATTTCTATTTCTATATCTATATCTATTATTTTTGTCTACATATATAAATAGAATATATATCTAGATCTATCATTTTCGTCTCAGTGTTATTTGGACCTGTGAAGATCCGGATTAGAATATGTCTTCAGGAACCTATGCTTGCCGTAAAAGGCGACTATGCTTGTTGTAAGAGGTGACTAACGGGATCGTCTGGTCAGGCTCGCTGACTTGGTTTATGCATATCATCATATCCCAATTGTGTGGATCGATGCTCATGATGTCAATTACTTGATTGTCTGGTCCAGACTAAATTATTTACAGACCGCCGTCATACAGCTGAAATATTGCTGAGTGCGGCGTTTAACAACAAACAAACAATATGTCTAACATGGCGGCTCTTATGCAAATCTGTTTTGAACCTCTTGATAAAATTTGGGTGTTATCATTTGTGGCAAAAAGTATTTGACATTTCAGCTTCATAAGATGTTATGACAGATGGAGGATGGACAAACTGGCCTTACAAAAGTTCACTTTACTTTCAGTCTGGTGAGCTAAAAATGTAGGATTTCCCTTGATTCAAATATCACTGCAGCCACATTGTAGTATAATACATACAACTGATATGAGATGCCTTGCAAGCCCCTCACACTGGTTGGAGGCGAGTACTTTAGACCTCATAGGTATTTCTATCACTGGCACTTCATCTGGGTATTGGGTGGAGAAGGTGATCCGCAGCCACACAGGACCTAAATTAAAATCATCATTGAACATTATTTTGTCGGTAACAGCTGAACTTGAGTGTTGGACAACTTCTGGGCATGAGTAGAAATTAATGATTGTCTACAACAATGTCTCAATTCAAAAGAGGCACTAACTGCAACATTTAGACCTTCACATTTAGACATGTGTAATGCAACTATTGTTCCGAGGTGGACAGCATCAACGTTTTCTTTGGTGGTGCTAGTGTCACCTTTCAAACTCTCTCTCTCTCTCAGACTGTACGTAAGTCATTCACCCAACATTTAATAGTGGCAGACTCCCCATAAACAGCATGTAGCCGATCAGTAAGATTCTTGGGTGATTGGCCTTCTGGGGGGCACAGCTACAGATAAGCAACGTATTTGTGTAAAATACGGTACCACCCCAAAATATTCAAAACCAAATTACTTTCAATTAACTTGCGTACAGAAACACATGCATTAAATGAAAAACTCAAATGTATAAAAACAGCACGTGTAAATACCCAATGAAGCTTTTTCAGCATGCGTACAAAGGAGCTAATTTCCGAAACACAATTACGACCTAATTTACTTTCTGAGCCAAGCCTATATATTTAACACAGTTATATAAATCTGAATCATTATTTCATTTTTTTTTAAATCTTAAAATGTTCACTAATTTTGGGAAAAACCCAATAGAATGTTGAATAGATGAGTGAAAAAATATTGGTTACCCAATGAAAAATAACCCAAGTAGTATAGGTAATGGGGGTTCTGCCGCAACTCCACTGGAGCAGGATTCATATACCTATACTGCTACTACAGGAGGAATTTTTTATGCCAAAATGATGATGCGATTTAATGATAGTCATAAGATTAAGTTAAATTGACCCTAGCTCACCAATACCTGGGGACCAATCATTGCTTCTATTAGTATAAAAATGATGATGTGATTCAACGAAAGTCGTTTTAAAAGAAATATCAATATTAATTAATAATGGATAAAATTTACTATAGCCCACGAGGATATTGGAAAGGTGTAGGAGCAATAAAAAAATTAGCCACCACGGCTAAGGTATCTAAAGATGTGGCCAAGGATTGGTTAAAGAAACAAGCGATGTGGCAAATATATTTACCGGCACCGCGTTATATACCGAGGAAGAAGTTTGATATTTTTACAACGAATGAAGTTCATCAGGCTGACCTCTTGTTTCTTCCCCACGATAAGGTAAAACGCAAAACGTACAAATACGCTTTAACGGTAGTGGATGTGGCTAGTCGATACAAAGAGGCTGAGCCATTAACATCGAAAGAATCAACAGAGGTAGCTAATGCACTGAGTCGCATATATAAACGCGGACCACTAAAATGGCCTAAGCTATTTCAAGTAGATCCCGGTCGCGAGTTTATGGGATCGGTAACTAAACTGTTAACAAAGAACGATGTCAAAATCGTCCGTGGTGAAAGAGAGGCCCACCGCAGTCAAGCTATCGTCCAAAGATTTAACAGGACATTAGCGGAACGTTTGTTTGGCTATCAGTATGGGATCGAAATGAAATCCGAGCGATTGAGATCAACCAAATGGGTGACACGATTATCAGCCGTTGTATCAGCGCTGAATAATGAAGTGACGAGATTAATAGGGAAGAAACCATCCGATGCGATTAAAATGAAATCCGTGACTTCCGAATCTTCAGCACCGAGGAGAGGCAAAGAACGAAAACTTCCGGATAGAGTAAGGGTAAGATATTTATACCAGCCCGGTGAACTCGAAGGAGGCCTACGTCGCGCAACCGATCCCATATGGTCCCTTAAGACGTATAACATTAGTCGATTGGTTACGAAAGAAGGAGAGCCTATTCTTTATTATCTTCAAGATGGACCGGGTAGGGCATTTGTACGAGAAGAGATGTTCATAGTTCCCGACGGTACGGTATTACCACCATAACCATAAGCATAGGTATTTACACCATCATTATCAATCCATCTCTTTGTATCTAAGGGGGATAATGATGTCTTGTTCATTCTTAATCCATATATCCTATGATCGTAACTTCTTAAAGAGTTCATCTCGTGTTTGAACGTTCTACCGTTGAATAATGATTCTTTATACTGTTCATGTTTGATATGCTTTTTTACAACATACTTCTTAACGCCCTTAGCTTTTCTTATCTCTCCATTATCGGACTTCTTTATAGAATACATCTTAGGTCTTAATCCCACATACTCCGCTATAGGGGTCCCAGCACATTCATCCTTCATCTTACCTAACACCTTTTTATTTACTACGCTGTGCAGTGGATTATCTTTAGGGTAATCGCTCGTGTCGTACATATCTATTTTTTCTGCCATATCTTTATACACATCCTCGGTTTGTATTTCCATCAACAAAGAATCTGTGTCGGTATATAAAACCTCGCATCTATCGCCGTATTGCTTCTTAAGTTCGTTGTAATAAAAGTCATACATTAAGTGTTTTGATAAGTCGAGAATACTCATACCGACGTACACCGGCCTGTTGAATTTTATATTACTTTTCTGCATATGCAACGCGGCTAAGTCGTTATCGAATATCTTGCTTCTGTTAAAAGCCGGACTGGCTATAAGTTTCCTGAGTCTTTCTTCCTCATTAGATCTGACTAATTTAACATCAACACGCTTCCTTAGATTCTCCATAGTTTTACCAAATACTGAGTTATTCATGAGCTTATACAGATTCTTTTCGAAATCGCTGGTAGCTATCTTTCTTAAATCTGTGTTCAACCTTATATAGGGCTCCATCCAAGGGCTTTGATCGAACTTTAGAACTCTGTGTATTTTCTTAAGTTTCATACCTAACGATAGATACAACTGGAGATTTCTGTAGTGAACTATATATTTTGTTTTATCCATCAAATTTGGTACGAGTTTTTCTACGTTAGCTAACCTACTATTACCCATCAAGGAGCGTTGATATTCCGACATCCAATCTTTATTAACCATTAATCTTTCGGGAGCTAGCGGATAACTGTTATGATCTTTATGTAACGAACTTGGATATTCCAAGTCAACTTCTAGTATGTACCCTTTATTCACTTCGATATCATTATTATGGATATTATGGATATCATTACCTTCGATCCATTCAAAACCACCCGTGGGTAAAGGTTGACTCATAGCCCATCCGTACAAATTGTTAGCGTCGAGATATAATATGTGCGTGTCGGGTTTACTGGGATCGTATCCTTCCACTAATTTATTATTAGCCTTAGAATACCTTTTAGCTGCCATCGATATACCACCTCTTAATCCTTTCTCAATAAACAAGTGCATATCGTAATCTGTGAGTAGTTTTAGTTCTACGCCGGTCTTCTTCAACAATGCATCCCACGATAGTCCGGGACTGGAATAGTACCATGCCGGGTCCAAGCCATATTGTTTGAAACATGTCTTTCTAAATATCTCGAATATATCGGCGAGTAACAGTACATCGGTTTTTAAGTACAGATAGTGATAATCGCCTAAATTCTTACAACCTAATTTATCCCACACCGTCAGAGCGTGTTCATAATCGGCATCTGTTATTTTAGATTCTGTTAAGTTACTATAGAATGATTCGAGGGTTGGTAATTCAGTTTCTTTGAATCTAGACCAATCATCCATATATTCGTAAGGATATACACCTTTTCTCAGCAACAAATGACGAGTTATCTTATCGGTATATTTATTTGTTATCGCAAAGTCATCAGGATTGTTCGCATTAGCTAAATTGTCCAGGGAAGATAACAGAAACTGTACGGAGTCTATGAATCTAAGCCCATTACTTTGCTTTGTTCTAGATTTCCCATCCTTGTCCCTATAATGTATAGGTTTAGTCAACGAGAACGATATGTATTTTTCCATATTATTAGGAATGCACGTTAAACCGCCGTCGGTCTTCGAGATAGCTTGCATAATGAGATGTGAATCGTATCCCCTAAGGTTGTGAAACACAACGGGGATGGGTATTGTTTGAGAATTCATTTTTAGTTTCAAGTTACACTCATTATGAGCGGCTCCCCGATAATTACCCGTGACGTGGCAATGATCTCTTACAGAATCCCCATCCAGGGGTTTATTACAAACGTGACAACTCGTTGACTTCTTATAGGCACTCCATTCATCCCTCGTCATACGCATGGGTATCTTACATGATAATTTTTCCCTGATTATTCTCTCTTCATTTTGTAGATATTCTAGGAACTTTCCCGCTGCATCGGGACCTCTGTAAATCACCGGCGGGTTTGTTTTCCCATCATACCTTACAACTATATATCCAAACCCACAAGGAATATGTTCTTGAGTTTTGTACGTAAAACTATTATCTTGATTATTATCTTGATTATTTTCCTATGGGTTTGATAAGCGCTTCGAAGTCGGCGTAAATTACGTACGGTACTGGCATTTGATTACAATAATGTTCAAATTTTAATATATTTTTTCCCTCTTTAGGCATATCGATCCTGATAGCATTCTGTCCAACACCTCTACAGTCTTCTTTATGCGCTTCTAAAAGATCTTGTCTGCTGTACCCATGCAGGCATCTTTCGCAGAAATATTTCTTTTCTTTATGTTTTGTTTGATCGTATAGCAGCCTGTTTAAACTCTTTATCCACATATAATGATATTTACCATCTTTTTCGATCAGAAATGAATTGATTCTGGGGATATTTTCCGGAGAGGAGCTTATCCTGTGTACAACAATTCCTTTAGAATGTCCGAAAACATTTATAGCTAAATTATTTTGCTTTTCCACCTTATCAATTTGCGATATTGGTGTAGGTTCGTCTATACCATCGAAGTTGAGTCCATCGTTTTGAGGATAGCTAGAAGGTCTATTTGCAATTTTAGAATCTACGGGGAACAATGCAGATCTTATCATCATTCTTAAACAGTCATCGGATTTATTTTTTACGTTAATTATGGCTTTTTTATTCTTATAATACGGGGGTAAATCTATATAAGATCCACCTTTGAAGGGCATATAATTTGCTATATCTAAATATAAA